CAGATTTTGTTTGAGGCAAAAATCTCTTATCCCCAATTTTGTAGTTATGAAAGGCTGTAAGCAATTTTCGAAAAAACGAATAATACCCGAAAATGAGACTAGCCATTCCTTATTACATATGTGAGGAAAATTTTAAGAAAAAATTTAGAGTGGGGTTTTGAGAACGTTTTTGTAAATATCAAACGCAAAAAACGGAAAAAACACTCTTTTCTTTAAAAAAAAACATTATATATGATCTTTTTTAAAGAGCTAATTTTGTACAACAGACTTTGAGCAATTATTTTTGAAAATTTTAATAATGGCCCAGGGGCTTCATGGAAAGTAACTCTCAAAATTAAAATATCGCTTTCAAATCCCAGGGTCCGCGACATTTGCTGGAACGATTGGAGAATATCAATTTTGTGAGAAAATCAGCTGAATGGTTTATGTGCTAGCGCAAAACATGAATTCTGGCTACTCCACGTGTTAGAGGAATTTTTTGCTATATTTAGCAACACGATTTATCCTCTTTTCCCATACCAGGGCTCGGCAATAAGAGTTTTCGTGTCGAAAATTCGCGGTTTTCCAGCTCACGATTACAATACTTTCTCTTCTTACGTTAATAAGTGCGAGAAAGTAAAAGCGGGCAACGTCGGGTATTTTGCTAGTGTGTAAAAAATCATTGCACATTAGTGAAAAAATATTTGTACTGGAGTTTTAATATTTCTACAGTTCTGAGCAAGCGATATTGTCTTCAATATTGAAAGTTTGGTAATGTCTTTATTATCTTGAGATTCATTATTTTTCATGGACCGGACAGTGGAAACGGATGGGAATTTTGAAAGTTCATTTCATTGGTTCCCTTAAAGGTGCGCGCACTAGTCCTACTAGCACTGTGAAACGGGACGATCCTTACCTACCGCCATTTACAAAACGGCTCCAAGGAAGATCTCAAGGAATACGTCATCAGCACAAGCTGGGACAGCCGTTTCAGTTGAGAGCTTATGAGACGTGTCGGGAGCGAAGATAAATGTTTCCAATTGCATTATGTTGTTCTAGAACTATCCTGAGTTATACAACATAATATTGAGTTTTATTTCATGTATTACCGAACACTCGAAAGTGTAATGCGTAGCTACACCATCTGCATCAAAGGGTATCATTTGCCGAACTTGAAATATCACATATTCATAAAAAGCTGTGCAGCATTGGTGAAAATTGGTACATTTCTATTCAGTAAATAAATTACACCATCTTTCGCAATGATACATTAGTTCATTTACAAAGATAAATTATGTATATGTGTTTTATTTGCTTAAAATAGTGTATCTTATCTGTGTTGATTATTTTCTTTAGTGTAAAAATTAAGAATTGGAGAAATGGATGAATCTGTCCCTTAGTTCAATTTAATTGTTTACAAATAAAATATTTCCAAATATTTTATATACATAGTATAATAATTATCAAAATATACAATTTAGTTTAAACTTTATCGAGAGACATCGTAAAGTTCTGAAATAATTTTTCATGTTCCACCAGGTCGGGATGTAAGTGAAATTCACTTTTTATCATTCTTCTTTTGTTGAGAAGAAGAGAATCAGGCCTTTTGAAACATTCTCTCATTTTCTTCTTCCGCTATTAAATATGAACACAATGCAATTGCTTCTGTACATAAATTATGTGGCCAACACGCAAAATACAAGATGGAGCGAGGAGCCAAACAGACTCAGAAATGTGCGCCCCTCACAAGAACTGCCGTCCGTCAGTACCGACCAACGAGCTAGGTTCACTATATAGAGCGGCTAAAGCGCCTTCATCTTTGCCGCAAATTGAAGCCATTGTTTTTGCAGTCAAAGCAGCGCCCTCCGGTGAAACACAGTATTCCGTTTGGCGCTGGTTAAGGCAGGGTGGGCGCGGGCCGACTTTCTCACCGTTTTATAAATTCTCTTATTCTGTGTTCCACGACTAAAAACCAATCATTTAAAAACGGAATGACAATATAATAGGAAAACGAATTGAGAAACTTTAAATACTCGTTGCTTCCTACATTGGTTATTGTCATAAGAATGAAAGCTGTTGAAATATTATTGTAGTTAGCATAAAGCCGGGAAGAGAATGTTATTGCAATAAGAATCAAACAAACGGATCAGAAATAAAGCGGCAAACATAAAAATGTTATATTTGTCGTTTGATGACTTCTGTTTTACAGTTATATGCCTAACATATTAAAGTCATTGTGCATATTCTTATTGTAACCACGAATATAACTGAAGTACAGATAAACGAAAAGACAACAATATAGAAGTAAGATCTGATACAAACAACATGCTACCATCAGGCTCTTCTCACATTTTTACTGCAAAAAACCTTCGCCTCGAGCATCGAGCAAATCCATACGGTCAAACCATACGTTCAGCCACACTATGTAGTATATTCTAACGTTCTACTCGTTCTAAATCTCTACTCGTTGGTACAGACCCAGACCGCGTGTAGCTTCAAAAATCATTCTGCATCGCTCTAATTCTTTTTCCCTTGAAATCACAGTCTTTCTCCAACTTCATAACAAAACTTCAAGGGACTCTCACAGGCGGAATACGTAATGCTCTCCTTCTCCCTTTCTCTCTACTCTCTCCATTTCTCTGTCTCTCTTTCTGCCTATCTTTCTCTCTCTCCTTTTGTGTCTTTCTGTCTCTGTTTTTGTCTCCCTTCCTCTCTATTTTTGTCTCTCTCTCCCTTTCTCTCTTTGTCATTATTTCTATATCTTTCTCTCGCTTCATCTTTCTCTTTCTATCCCACTCTTTCACTTTCTATCTTTTCTCTTTCTCTCCCTCACTTTCTCTCCCTCGCTTTCTCTTCCTCTTCCTCTCTCTCACTTCCTCTCTCTCTCGCGCGCGCTTTCTCTCTCTCGCGCGCGCTTTCTCTCTCGCGCTTTCTCTCTCTCGCGCTTTCTCTCTCTCGCGCGCTTTCTCTCTCGCGCGCGCTTTCTCTCTCTCGCGCGCTTTCTCTCTCTCTCGCTTTCTCCCTCTCTCTCGCATTCTCTCTCTTTTTCTCTCTCTCTCTTTCTCTCTTTCTCTCTCCTTCTCTCTCTCTTTCTCTTTCTCTCTCTCGCTTTCTCGTGACCTTGTTTCCTTTACACCAGCTCCGGCGCAGCCCCAGCGAGGATGCGTCGTCCGTCGTGCAGCCGGAGGGAGGAATGCGAACCGCCCTTAGGGCTGCCGCGGCCGCTTCGAAGGGCAAGGGTTAGAGGACAGGGAAGGACGAGGCTTAAGAAAATCTCCGTTCAGAACACACACCGAATCTCCGTTCACCATTCGCCGTCAGGACGAAGCGATGCTCTTCTGCCAGGGGGGCTATGCTACCCTAACCTGTAGTGGGGAACCTATTCTACCCTATGCTAACTAATTCCAATTCGGTTTTTCACGCGAACTGTTACTTGAAGTACTTTGCGACATTGCAGTATAGTTTTCTTGTAATACGAAAGTTAAATCGGAGTACTTAATGAAGAATTGGAATATGCCATTCTATCAGAAGGAGAACTGAATGTCTGACCATCGTTCAGTCATCCTTGAGGGGAAAATATCACTTCACATTTGGAAGGGGGTGGTAATATAATCAAAACGCCTGCAAAGCTGGTGAGGTTAAGAAAATATTTACAAATAAAACTAACGTTTTTTTACACGAACTTTAGTCCACACAAGATGTGGCAAAACTTTGTGGCAAAAACGACGTGGCAAAAACAAAATATAAATTTTAAAGTCCATATATGCACGTAGCATAATACGTAGTTTAACGTTTTTATAAAAGATCGAATTTTCCGAGAAATATACTAAATAAAATCAGATTAATTAAATGGTCATTATACAATTCTTGTGTATTTGTAAAAATTATAATTCTGTTTATCTCGCAGGATTTACTGTTCTATCTTCAGCATCTTTTCGCAATTCATTCACATGCCTTTAATTGATTAATCCAAACCTTTTTTACTTTATCGCACTTACTAACGTAAGAAGAGAAAGTATTGTAATCGCCCGGTGGAAAACAGAAAATTTTCGACACAAACCTCTTGATAGATAAATCCAGTTGATAAATATATTACAAAAATGCTCTAACTCGTGGTGTAGACAGAATCGTAGGTCCTAGATACCGAAAAATTGATTGACGACCAAAGGTCTGTCTATCTGTCCGTCCGTCCGTCCGTCCGTCCGTCCGTCCGTCCATCGATGCACAACTCTAGCGCATAAACTGTTAAGCCGATTTTCTCCAAAATTGATATTCCTCAATATATCTGAGTAATGTCATGGCCCTTTGAATTTGAAACCGATATATTAATATTAGGAGGTACTTTACATGAAATCCCTGCGACATTTTCAAAAGTTAAAAAAAAATACCCCTTAGTATCTGACCAATTGTAATGTCATTTTACGTCAATGTCAATTTATTGAAATCCATTGCGTAGTAAATGTAACCTTAAGTCTATCTGGAAATTCTGAGAAGTCAACGGAAGAGGGGAAATTATTAAATATCAATTCAAAGTAAAGTATAGGTGATATAAAAATAAATACAGGAATTAAAGACAGGTATCAAAAATCAAATTATAACAATTACCTTCCAGAAAGGAAATATATTTTAACTGTATAGAGGTGGGTGCAGAATACAATACTCGAAGATAATAAGTTCAATATTCAATACTTTGTTAGTGGTACTATTACATTTCTCTTGTGAGGAAATTAAAGTATTTCCTTTTTATGCATGGTAGTTGGTACATTTGTATATTTTATGGTAGTTCGTATTAAATTTTCTCAGCAAATTTTTTGATTTTGTTGTCTTAATATTGAGAAACACTTACTTAACATGTTTGGTCTTGGAAACTGAAGTATTGTTTTGTTAAACTTTTTTCAACGATGTCAAGTTTTCTTGTATATCAGTTTATAGACACTCAGCCATTAAGTGTCTTAGACAGTTAATAACACTAAATGAAATATTCATTTAGTTTTAATTGCGTTTGTTGATCGAATAAGTACATGCCGCTCAAGGACATCCAATATTGTTTTATCATTTTCTTTCAGCCATTCCAGATTTTCATCCACAGTTTCCAGGGCAGCAGCCGTCACTGCTTTACCTAGGTTGCTTTCGTGCCGCGTCAGAAAAGCCTCCAACTGCAATAAATTTATTTTTGTAATCTAGTACAATTCATTTTTATGCCTTTTTAAAATGGAGTTAAACTCAACTAAACTTTGTACTACTATAGTATAACTGTATAACAAGACATATTTATAAAATGTTCGAGTTTTTAATAAATGCCTTTAGGGAGAATGAAGGTGGAGTGAGAGTGAAGAGTGAGAGTGAAGTCGAGAGTGAGAGTGAGAAGTGAGAGTGAAGGATGAAGTGAAAAGAGTTGAGAGTAGGTGCTGAGAAGTGAGAGTGAGAGTGAAGAGTGGAGTGAGAGTGAGAGTGAGAGTGAGAGTGAGAGTGAGAGTGAGGAGTGAGAGTGAGAAAGTGAGAAGTGAGAGTTGAGAAGTGAGAGTGAGAGTGAGAAGTGAGAGTGAGAGTGAGAGTGAGAGTGAGAGTGAAGAGTGGAGAGTGAGAGTGAGAGTGAGAAGAGAGGGGAGAAAAGAGTGAGAGTGAGAGTGAGACTAAGTGGAGAGGGAGAGAAGGAGAGGGAGAGGGAGAGGGAGAGCGGCGAGCGAGAGTGAGAGAGAAGGGAGAGAAAGCTATCTTGATAATAAATAAAATAACATAAAATTCTGATACCACAATAATGTTACACTTTCCTCTCTGCTCTTTCAGTTGTCAGGCGCCCTGCAATTCCCACCACGATGTTGCTAATGGCACCCATTGATCCGTAGCTACAACATAAAAACTTATAGGAAACATCCGCTTTGGCGAAAAATACAGATTATGGCGGAGTCCCATTCTCATAGGCTGTGATATAAGAAGCCAATTACAAATGAAAACAAAACTCTGGCAATTAATTTTAACATTTGCAAAGAATATTCAAACGCTTTTGAAATTAGAAGTGAAATTGGTTCATATTAAAATAAAATTTAAAAGGAATTTGAAAACAATTCAATCAAAATTCACATTAATTGAAATCCAAACGTTTTTTGAAGTTTGAAGTTTGATTCATTGAACTGAATTTCTTTTTTCACAATGATATGACTCTGTACATATGAGTATATTTACTCTCTCCAAACGCAATTTAAATTGCTTTTGTGATGTATGAAATTATTATGATTAAAAAAACATACTATTCCAGCACTTTGTCGAAATTGTTGTCTAGAAAGTTTAACGCTACTTCCACACCTCGCGCGTTGCTATACACATTCGTAAAAACGCTTGAAGCGTCTTGTCTGCGAATGAACGTGCCTTCGATGGAATACTCGAGCAACCTGCAAATACAACACAAATTATTGAATGAATTAAGACAATCAATTAAATATCATTCAATTTTCGCTCGATAGTTTTATATATTCTCTCATTATTGGATATTATGTCATAAATTTAAAGAAAAAACTATTTAAGGATAGGGTTCGTAGACTTCCGCGGCCGGAGTCAATGCATTCTTGGCTCTCCGGGATAAGCCGCACCTCGGTCAATGGCACTGACGTTTCGGCCATCTTGCTGTGGCCTTCTTCAGAGCTATACTGCTGAAGTATAGAGAGAGAGCAGTATAGCTCTGAAGAAGGCCACAGCAAGATGGCCGAAACGTCAGTCCAATTAACTGAGACGCGGCTCATCCAAGAATGCATATTTAAGGATAGATCCTTATGGTCAATGTTCACTCACTCCGTGAGCCTCTCCTCGTCGTGGGAGCACGTCAGGCCAGACATGAGGAGCGCGCGCTCTGCGCTGTCTTTGCTCTCCTTGTACTCATTTAACAGTTTATGCCAATAATCACTCGCCGAATGACGAATGCCATAACAGTACACAACGCTGCGAAGGTCGGCCGGCACCCTAAGAAGAAAAGAAAAAATGCAAAGGATTACCAGTTGAATTATTTTAATTATTAATCTAACGTCATTATTATGGTTCTCCTCAAAACTTTGATATTTCATTAATTTAACATTTTAAATTGTGTCAGGGTTTCCCAAGGAAGATTAATACGTTCTTGAATTTTATATTTTATTTTATCTCTATAATATAAAGCATTGTATGAAAATGTCCGAATTGGTAAATGGAAAAATAGAATAAATATTCCATAAGAATTTTCTTACAATATCCGCCTATCCAGGAAACTGTGTAGAGAGTCGCGAGCGGTGTTTGTGCAATGAGTGTGTTCCAGAGAACACGCCCACGCTGACACTCTGTTGAGAAGTAACTTATCGATGTGATTATCTTGATCTTCAAAATTGAAGTGACGATACCGCTCTTCAAGGAGATTAAGAATGTAATTCTGCAACATATACAAATGATGTGCATGATGTAATTGAAAACAATCTTAGAGTTTGCAGAAAGAAGAACGTTTTTTGGATAATCACAGTAAATTTCAGTGATGATTATAGGAAAAAATTAAGTAATTGAGGCCTCATTGTTATAATCTGAACAACGATCGAATGCTTTTTTAAACTGTTATTCACTATAAACTTAAATTCAATTTAAGAATGAAAATATTTAAGGATATAGGGAATGGTTAAAATTATTTCATTATCATTTAGTTGCGAAATGTTAATTACATTGCTTTTCCGCACATATTATTGTATGTCGTATGTAATAGCTTTTCCATTACAAAATATAATTGGAATATTTACCACAGTTACACACTCCATTTAAATAGTGAAGTTAGTCCAATATCTTGAAAACAAAAAAATATCAAAAATCTGATAAATGCAACTGATGAACCCCTTTGTTATAATTCGTTTGCTCAAAATTTCATCTCTGTATCTTCAATCGTCAATCGTCGCGCCAATGATGTTACGATAAATGTTCACATTACTTTTTGAAGGATATTAAATACTCCATTTATTTCCGGCATTTTAAAACTTATTTAATTGACAGATGTGGGAAAAACATATAGCCTTCATCGTCCTCGTACCTGGAATACGGAGTATCTCTCATTCCTAATTAGCATCCGCTGCAGGTAAGAGAAAGCAGCAAATGCTGCTGCCCACGGAACGTAATCAGTACTCGCGCTGCAGGTAGTCGGCGAGGTCGAGGCGACGGCGTAGTCCAACTGCCGCGCGCGCCAGGTTGAAGGCGTCGTCAGCAGCTGCGCGCGGTTTCAGCACGTGGACGCCCCTCCAGCGGCTGGCTGGGGTTCCTGCAGGTGGGCGGACAGCAGCCCGGTTCGTGTCGTCGTTAATTCACGCGGTAATATCCTGAAATAACGAATGTGGTCAATAACAAATTATATTGATACCGAGAAAAAAACAAATACGAATTTGAACGTTTTGAAGTGAATACCATTCTGTCTTCACAAAATAATTCTAAATAATATCAATCAACGGCCTGCTAACCTATGACATTCCTAGAATTTTCGGAATCCTCGGACAGAATTGCATTACCGTTTAATATGCAATACCGTTTTTAAATACCAATACGCAGTGTGCGGAACAAATGAACCAAATGGGACAAGTGAAAAAACTGGGACATGTGATCAAAATGGACAAAACGCAGCAAATGGACAAAACGCAGCAAATGGACAAAACGCAGCAAATGGACAAAACGGAGCAAATGGACAAAACGGAGCAAATGGACAAAACGGAGCAAATGGACAAAACGAAGAAAATGGACAAAACGAAGAAAATGGACAAAGCGGAGCAAATGGACAAAACGGAGCAAATGGACAAAACGGAGCAAATGGACAAAACGGAGAAAATGGACAAGAGGATTTAAAGCAAATTATTGGCCCGTTGTTAATAACTTTGTTGAAAATCAAATATGCATGTAATTTTATTCTAATTGTTAGAAGAATTGAAGAAGTCGTTGCCCAAACATGTTAACTCAAAAGCTCTCAGGAACCTTCCGTATTTCATTAACAGATTTTGGTTAATTTACATTACCAAGTCTCTTCATTCTTGTTTATCAGTCTTCACTGTTCCTGTCTGCGGTGTAGTACGAATATTTTTGCATTTAACTAACAGAAAACTATCAAATTTGAAAATTAATATCTTGTGGGATAGTTTGAGATGTGATGTTTGATTATTATGAATATGTAGATCATGATACAAAAATGCAAATAATATTACGATTATTTCAATTTTATTATACTTCTATGTGTCCACATTATATTTTCTGCTTTCAGATTTTGCGTCTGTCTTTGCATACCTGTCGACTGAACGTTGAATAAAATCCATTTGTCGTTTTGTCCTTGTAGAGGAATGACGGTTTCCTTATGAATATCCAAAAGGTAACCTTGCGGCTTCCGAACTGAGAAATCTTCTCCTTGAACTACCCATGTTAGTGGCACGAAGTAAAGTGTGGGATCTTCTGTTGAGGGTTTCCTCAGAAGAAATCGGCTCTGTGCAAAAATATCCTTATATTAAAGAACCATCGCCAGATTTAAGCCAGAGGAGAAAGGGTGACCTAAATACTTTTCATTTAAGTCTTTTGCAAAGAACGCTTGCAATTTTGTTTGAGGCAATTTTAACTGAAATAGTGAAAAACTGAAATACTGGTATAAACTGGATGCCAAAGAGAGCAGACGTAGCTGTGAGGGAATTTTTTTAACAAGAAGGACTATTAATTAGGAGGAGGATAGAAGGATGTAAAATTAATCCTGGTATGTTCATCTAGAAAGTTTACCTTCCTTTAAACTGCTGATTCCAGATACATGAGTAACGAAAATAATTACGCCCGATCATGCAATCTCTTTCAGATTGACGACGGGATATTCCTGCATACCCTCGACAAATAAGTTTCTCATGTGCGATATTGTTGATGTAGGTGTTGTTCGGTGTGTCCGAGTTGTATTTTTTCGAATCTCTCGCTCTTTGCGTGGAAGTGTTTCAAGTATAGCTCACTAGTTAGTAGATTAAAAGCTGCAGTAATATTATGAAACTATTATCAATAGTATGCATAAGTGTGAGTTGTATCTGGTGTTTTAGTAATATTTACTAGATGAAGTGAATATCAACCAACAATTTATTCCAATATATCATCCAATCATCCCAGTCGCTAGTCTTTGTAAATAGAATACATTTCAGAGGTCCATGAAAAACGCTCCAAAGCGCATTGTTTATGACTACCAAAAAGTAAACTCAGCACAAGTTGTACGAAGTTATGAACCACTTTTAAAAAACAAACGGAAAGAGTTGTACGCTCTTTACATTTCAGCAACACTTTTGATGAAAAAATATGGTTTCAGTCTCATCAAATCGGCCTGTTCCTTTAAATACTCGTAGAAATGCTAAGTTACCAGGAAAGTAATTCAAAAGCATTGTTGTTAGTGATTCCGGGTGCGTCAACTAATGAGGTCGCATGTCTCGTAAGAGTAGTGCATGCTTTTTAATCGGGAGGTAGGGTGGTCTTCCTCCGCTGTATAGCGAGTTCCGGCGCCGACCCACCGTCGGCTAGGGGGTTTCCCCAACCAGGTATCACCCAACATTGGGCACGGCCCCAGCCGGGCCAAGCTCTAAGTTGCCGACCGGCATGTGTGATAGTGGAGTGCATGTTAGTGCAAGTGTGTGCAAGGGGGCGAGGACAGAACAAGGACGAGGAAGGAAAGATAGGGCGCGGTCCGTGGCTCGTTTGTTACGGTATTCGGCATTCGTCTGATCGGAGAAACCACGGAAAACTACCGATCAGCGCAGCGGGCCTCTACAAGTCTCCTCCAGATAGCAATGGAATCCGACCTAATTGACAAGCTACTGTCGAAAGTCCTGCCACTGTTGGGACTCGAACCTTGGACCTCCCGCTCAGAGGCACTGCAGTGACATCAGTTGATGCTCTGAGCGCGGTTAAAACCATTGTCTTCATGACAAAGAAACTTAATGTTATTTTTATTAATTGGATTGTTGGTGAAGTAGATACCTTTTTTATTTTGATAAATAAATTGAGATATTGTCAGGTACCAATATTTTAATTCAACTGATGATCATTTCGATCGCGAAGCGATCATCCTCAGAGCTTGCAGCTTCTGGGCCGAAAACAGGGCAGAACTTTGTTTTCGGCCCAGAAGCTGCAAGCTCTGAGTATGATCACTACGCGATCGAAATGATCATTAGTTGAATTAAAATATTGATACCTGACAATATCTCTATTTATTTATTAATATTATTTGTTTTTTTTTGACACCCTTGCGAACATTCACTCTCCATTTCATGATTCTTCTCATGATAAAGAATGCATGTGACGTCGTACTTGCGTGACGCGCACTTGGGAGAGTGCGCTGTCCCTGCGAACTGTGATGACGGGGAACCCCGGCCGTTCGGTCCACGAGCGGAGGAAGCCGTCGAAGTAGCGGGCGCTCAGGCCGGTCTCGTGCGCGTGCAGCTTGAGCACCTCGAACAGATCATCGGGGGTGGTGGTGGAATAGCGGCTGCGGCACAAAAGGAGGAAGAAATTACGCAAAATTTCCTTCGTTTGTAGAATAAAGAGATCACATTGAAACTCTAGTCGCAGTCGTCTATAATATATAATATTATAATATATATATATATATATATATATATATAATAATATTATATATTATATATTTATATAATTTAAGAATCAAATTAAAAAACAAATTTTTTGGGTATTTGTAAGGTGTTATTTACTTTGATTTTCAAGGCAGAATTTATATTTTTTTTCATATTTGCAGTAATTAATAATGAACTTTTGACTTATTTTACAGATTGATAACTTGCAAAGATTTTTAAAGCATGTATATTTATCTGGAAGTTTTGATAATTATTTATTCCAATCTATTTTTGAAGGATATTTCGTTAAAATGAGTCAACATAAATATGGAATGGTAAGTACGAGGGTAAATTAAAGAATCGTAAGTTAAAATACTGTTCAAGTAAACATTTCATACATCTCATGAAAGTTGGGGCATGAAAATAGAGAAATGAAATGGCAACGGTCCACTTACTTCCTTCTTAAGTACACTTGCAAAGCTTTCTGGAATTGATCTTCACCTATGATGCTGCTCAACATCCGAATAACAGCGGCACCTATTCCATTAGGGAAGTACAAAATCTAATTACTAATTGAGACACAAATTATTCAAAATATACTATATTTTTCTTAAAAAACATTATAATATATATTATTCTCAAATACTCTGCAAAATAGTGCAACATTTCATCGAATTCTGGAACTAGATTTAATTTGTGGATTATTAAGATATTTCGATTTAGCGCCGTGCTCACATTGCGAATTGCATAATTCATTCCTTTGAAAAACCCGGAAAACTAGCAATCAAAGTAGCTGTCCTCAAGAATTCTCCCCGAAACAGTACAATATTTGAATTTTTGAGATTTTTTATTTTGAGATTAGAACGCGAAAGGATGTAGGTATTGTAATGGCCTAAAAGCCGTCGGCCTAGCTACATAGAATCAAGTAAGCTAATTTGTCTGTAATAATTACCTATTAAATAATAAATAAATAATAATATTTGAATTTGACCTAGCCAGCCGGCTTGATGAAAATCCACCACATTCGGTACTGCGAAGATATTGACTCCATATATAAGTTCTCAAAAAGTAAATTCCCGCCATATTTAACGATTTGTAAAGCTTACCTTTACTGTAGGTTATTCCGCCGAATCGGCCGCTCACTTGAGCCGGCGTGTAGGCGGGGGACGATAACGCAGCTACCGATATCAGAGAATCCGAAGCGAACACCCCCTGGTGAGTATCAACCAAGAACTGATCCATGAGTCTCCAATCCGGTTTCACCTTGTCGGTGATGTAGTACTGGAAGTACTGCGCGAAGCCCTCGTTGAGCCACGTGGCGTCCCACCAGTGGGTGGTGACGAGGTTGCCGAACCACATGTGCGTGAGCTCGTGCGCTATGACGGTGGCGATTCCTTTCCGCGCAAACGCCGTGCCGTCATTGAACAGCAACATTGATTCGCGGTACGTGACGAGTCCCCAATTCTCCATGGCGCCCGCCGAGAAGTCAGGAAGTGCAACCTGATCCACTTTGTCGAAGGGGCTTGATTGCGTGCGGTCGGTATAATTGCTGGAGGTGTACACCTCTAGAGTTTCGAGAAGGGATCTAGATATTTGTAAGCTATAGTCTGCCCATGGGAGGGCATTAGGCCGAGCCCACGTTCGGAAGATTATACCTCCATCAATTGGTTTGTCTTCTATGTACTTGAAATCGGAAACGACGATTGCCAAAAGATATGTGGACATTTTCGGAGTGATTGAAAACTGTGCTTCTGTGGAGAAGTCATCCCTAGAATATGGAAAACAGTATTATGCATTTAATTAAAGTGAAAAGAACTTTGTCATGTTTACTCATACATACATTTTTACTGAATTCCGTTTAATTGTATTTAATTAGTTAAATTTGGAGAGCGTGAGGAAATGAAACAATAACTTCAGTGTTTCGTTATTTCGTGCTACAATCAGTATATCTCAGAAAAAAATTGCGTTAAATCAATGATTTCAACCTTCCTTGGAGACAAAAAAAAATTTTTTCCACAACATAAAATGTTGATATGCATTTATAATTGAATTTAAAATTATTTATTATTCTTATCGTTTAATCTCTATGGTTATTCAATTTGAAACTTAGAAAACATTAGCTCACGGATCATAATTTTTCAATACAGAGGGGAAAATGTAATAATAGGCAACAATTCGTACCATTTAAATAATTATAATAGTAGGTAGTACCTAGTAACGAAGAATATGGGTATTTAGATAAACGTAGTACTTACCAGACATATGTGTGCATGACGCGCGTATTTCCTAATGCATGGTAATAAGGTGGGGTCTTGACTGTCACAGAGAACATACTTTTAAAATTTGGTTCATCGAAGCATGGGAAGGCTTTACGCGCGTGTGTCGGTTGGAACTGTGTAGCAGCAAGCCTCCTAAAAAAGGGTGAAGCAGTGTGAAATATTAAAAAAAAGGCATAAATATCCTCCCCTATTACATAGATACTTTCATTTAGTTCATTTTTAACACTACTTAAATACTACACACAGAGAATATTTTTTAGAATTTACGAGCAGTTTGATTGTAGGTGATTTTTTGTTAGAAGTTAATCTGTTGCTGTTTTTGATGCAGCGTAATTCTTTGGAAGTAATTTCGTCAGAACGCTGGATCGTAGTTTACTAGTACCTAAATAGTTATATTAAACAATTTAAAAAATATTAAATACAAAAAATATTTTACTAGGTTTTAGATGACATTGCTTACCTCTCATTATTATTGTCGTCATCGTACTTGCTAATGTAAAATCCATACATATTATCTCTAAGTGTGCCGCTAAATTCCATGTATATGATATAATCTATGTATGTAAACATTGGCTCTTTGGTGTAGAGGTGAAGGAATTCTAATGTCTCATCATATGAGTGGGAATGATATATTTCCTTCGGAAACCACCCTCCATCTTGAACGGACACGTAATTGACTTGTATCCCCTGGGAATGCAGAGTAATCACATCCGTTTCGATATCCGTTGATAGTATGATGTACATATGTCCTGTAAACGTTTCCGCCTCCAGATCGGGTTCGAACCTAAGAATATAACGTTCCGGTCTCACCCACGGATCAAGTCGATACTGTTTCAGGACTTTGTCTTCAAAAACGGAGAATATTATATCTTGGTATTCGGTCACCCATTTCAAGTTGTCATCCACAGTAGCAAGAGCACTTTGCGCAGTAGCTCCTAGATTATCAGCATGTTTCTCAATGAAACTTTGTAGCTGCAAATGTAAAATACGCGTTAGTTTTATATTATTTCAGTCACAATTATCGTTATTTCAGGACAGAAAAGGTCTACCTTATTTCTTTGCTCCAATGTTGTTAAACGACCAGCAATTCCTGTCACAATGTTGTTGATGGAACCCATAGAACCATAACTAAAAGTAAACAAAACAGATGAAATGATTCAAAACAGAATGAAATGATTTCAAAAGATGCAATTTATTCAAAAACGATGAAATAATTCAACAGTATGAAATAATTTTCAAAGACAGAATTGAAATAATTCAAAAACAGATGAAATAATTCAAACGAGATGAACATAATTCAAAACAGCTGAAATAAATTCAAAACAGATGAAATAATTCAAAACAGATGAAATGATTAAAAATAGGCGAATTTTCAAATAATTAGTTGATAAGAGAAGTATACTTACTAAATCCTAATCGCCTCGAAATTTTCATCAAGAAATTCCAGAGCGACCTCGACCCCGAGCGGATTCCCGTAGACAGACGAGAACACGCTGGCCGCGTCCTGCCTTCGGATGGGCCCGTCGAGTGTGATCGAGTAGCCAAGAAGTCTGAGGAAGAAAGAGGTTTGATCAAAAGTTCAGTTGATCAGAAGCTAGTACGTGTATGTACTTGGCGCAACAACCCGTGAACGCGTCAGGCCAACCGGCGTCGTCCCTGCCTCGCGACCATTGGTTAAGGGGGTACGTGTGGTTAGCACGTAGACATCCCCACGCCGTATTCCGGTCTTCTCAACCTAAGTGAATTTTCTCAGCGTCCCACAGCAACATATGACGGGACATTGCAAAGAAAACGCACACTATAATCCTGTCTGACCGGGAATGGAACCCGGTGCCACGTAGTGGAAAGCGAGCACGCTAACCAACAGTTAGTCATTAGGACAATCAGAAGCTTACTTAAATTATAATTCTGAATAATTCTGTAGAATAAATAACTTGGAATTTTATCCAGTACGTGACGTTTCTTAAAATATTTATCGGAATTTATTTCAAGCCCGTTAATCGCTTAATACAATACAAAACTTTAGCATTATTTTTTTAACCAAATTTCTCCTGAAACCCTTTTCGTTTGATAAGATTAAAACCAGTTTGATAAGTAAATCACAATATGATGAATTTTTATAATAAACATTTAAGAATTTTAAGACAATTTCCAAAGGATTACTTGATATAGGAATATTCTGAGGCTTGCATGTGCGAGGCCAATTGTTCTTTAAATAAATAAATAAATAAATAAATAAATAAATGCAAATACAAAATTGTACATGTACGAACCCTAGAACTTACATTGTCTATTCGAGACGAGCCGCGTCTCTGTCGTGGTGGCATAGGTTTCGGCCAACATGGAGGTACTCTCCGAGTAGACTCGGAGAACACAATCTACTGTCCGAAACGCCGGTCACCACAACAGAAACGCGACTCGTCCCGCATACCCTAGGCAATACAAACTCCAACCGCGGAAGCCTGCGCGACCAACTTCCCTAACAACAATGCTGCAGAGACATCGGTGTTGAATAGAATTTATGCCTTATTTTACGTAACGAGACTCGGGTCATCAGGTCAGCTCTTCCGTCTGACGACGCAATTTTCGCTACGCTCTCTTCAACAACTAGCACAGAAAGGAGGTATTTCTTGGGAGAAAAATAGGCGATTGGAATTTATCTCAGAGGCGTCATTTAAGCTTTAGGATCTTTTACATGCAAGTAAGTCTACTAACATGGGACAGCCGGCTTTACTTCCCCTCCGAAACAAGGTGCACGACGGATTTTTTCGCCCTTAAAAATCCACAGCTTCGATCGATCCTGAACCCGCGAACCAGGTATACCAGTCCAATACGCTAACCGTTACACCGTCGCCGCCGCGGTGTTGTCGCTGAGCTATCGCAGGAGGGGAATCCCAATGCAGTACGGCAGGTGTGCGTCGTCGGCCGGAAGGCGATACTCACTGCCTGAGGCGGGCTTCGTCCGAGGAGCAGCTGAGCCCGGCCACGATGAGGCCGCGCTCCACGTCGTCCTGGGACGTCCTGTACTTGTCCCACATCGCCTCCCAGTAGCGGCCGCTGAGGGCGCGCACGCCGTAGCAGTACACCACGCTGCGGAGATCTGGAGCCACTCTGCGAAGAGAGAGTCTTCACAGTACACACTGGGCGAGCCGATCGCGCCTTATCGTATTCTTAGTTAGTACATAGTTGTTCTTTTCTTCGCGTTTCTTACGATTCGCTGTTTACGTGGCAGAAAGCGTGCTATTCCACTCCCGCAACAAACTTTAAAGGGACTACTTTCGAGCAATATCCCGTGTGGCAGTCAAAGCAATATAACACTTAGGCTTGAGAATCTTTTACATGCAAGTAAATCTATTAACATGGGACAGACAGCTTTACTTCCCCTCCGAAGGAAGGCGTACGAAGGATTTTTTTTCGCCCATAAAAATCCACGGCTTCGATCGGGTTTGAACCTTTCAACTTGGTTATAACAGTCCGATACGCTAACCATTACAGGGTCGGCGCCCGTTACACGGTCGCCGCCCGTTACACGGTCGCTAACCGTTACACGGTCGCTAACCGTTACACGGTCGCTAACCGTTACACGGTCGCTAACCGTTACACGGTGTTGTCGTAGCAGTACACCACCCTGCGAAGAGCACACTCTGGGCGGGCCGGGCTCGGGCTCGGGCTCAAGCGGTCGCGCCTTATCGTATTCTTTACATAGTTGTGCTTTTCTTCGCATTTCATACGATTCGCTGTTTACGTGGCTAATACACTCCCGCAACAAACTTTAGAGGGACTAGTTGAGAGCAATATCCCGTGTGGCAGTCAGACTATCCTGATGTCAATTAACTGAGTCGTCAATTACACGGAACAGTTTATGATTCATATTTTACCTTTATTTATTTTCTGGTAGATAACTATGTATTTTAGCATGTTTACTGCATTTTGACACTTTCAATTTCGTATTATGCACGTATTTCAACATTACAGTGATTCATACATTTAATTTTTTTTTGCTCGCGAATAGGCCGACTAGGACAACGTGCATGCATCCTGGATTTACAGGGTGCCAATAACATTATCTCTATGACAGGTGCATGTAATTTATCGTGGGATCAGCAGTTAGTCTAGATCCTACTTTTATCCCCCAAGGTTGTGAGTCCTGGGAGTATGGAAGATGAATGATGATGATGATGATGATGATGATGATGATGATGATGATGATGATGATAGTGAGGGGTGAAAGTATGACACATACATACAGACGGACAGACCAACTCGTCCATGCACGAGGCGGTTCTCAAATCCGCGATCTACTGGTCCAAGATCGCAATGACACTACTACCTTAGCGATTTCGACAATCTGATCGGCCAGAAGAATTATACATTTTAATTTTTTGTTTAAATAATTTTTGTATAATAATTGTTTAATACTGTTTTAATTTCTCTCTGTGTGTATTTTTTGATGTTCTGGAATCTTTTGTTTTTAGTCGTGAGCCTGCGTTGATTAGTACGGATATTCGATGCTCCACTTAGTTAAAATACAAAAACAATTAATATATTACCAAGTTAAAAGGAGGTGAAAAGCAGAGTTACGAAGATTTGTGCCAATTATAGTGCGTTTTACAACTGAAAATAAAAAAAGACCAAAGAATATTTCAATGTGTCGGGTGAAGCATATTAGTAAAAACGGCATTAAATGTATTACGTTTTTCTCCAATTTAGTACCATACTTAACATAAATCCCATCTACGAATTCCAATTATTTTATGTTTATTTGCGGCGCTCAATATGTTTAACTATCTATTTATGAAATCTTTTATTTTACAATTTTGTAGATATACAATTGTTGGCTACATACTACATTTTCCTGCTGTCAACTAAACACATTACGTGTCTCCAGTCTACCTCTCATCTCACAGAGATTCCAGTTTTCTCTCACTATTTAACTTAAATCCCCTAGATATAGTTTAATTTCCTAAAGTATATATTTTAAATACGAAAATATTACGGATTAGTAAAATATGTCATTAATTTTTACCCGCGTACTATTTCTGACACGCGACAAAATGGGACGATTTATGAGGTAACAGCAGACAACTCCGAATAAGAAAAGTAATTAACTTACGGTACGTTGTCATCGACGTACGCCTTTAGAGCGCTTTCCGCTGCCTCGTTGCACTTTTTGTTGTCGAGTCTGCACGCCCACGTCGCCAACTTGTTCAACAGCAGTTTTTCATCATGTCTGTCAGGGACACTGAATTGATAATGCTCGTAGAGCTTGTCGATTAGACGCAGTACGTAACCCTGTTGGACACAGTTGGACACAATTTCATAATAATTTCTAACTTTCAACAACCCTAGTGAAATACGCCTACGCATGAATATCGTATTCTAATAATTGAATATACGCTTACTGCGTGGTATACACATTCGAACACGTAAAAACATTGACAGGGCAATTATATGAGAGAACAGAACGAAATCTGTCCTTTATTTTGATCGTTTCGCTATCCTTAATATTTGGTCAATAGAAAGAATTAAACCATCCACAAAACACATTTAAATGTTTTTTTATTGAAACATTCATATCAAAACCTTTTTTCGGGAATTAGTATTTCAGATTAGTACATAATATGGGGCCACGCTGTGAAAACTCATTCCATGAAATTGTCCAAGAGTGAAATTCACCCTACTTGGATCCACTGAATGTGGAAAAATGTATCCTCAAATCAGGTTTTGGTTTTATTAATTTAATAAAACGTATTAAAACTTTTGAATTGTAGATGGATAATTACTTTCCATTCATCTCTATCATTTATGTGTCTGCAGATGTTTTTCTCCTGGCGAACCTGAAGTAATCGGTGCTTGTGAATAGTTGGAATAACGCGGTAAATTCTTTGGAAATGGTAAATGACGCCTGATAAATTCTGCTACTCCGTAGTCGCGCTTCATTATAGGGCGCGCACCCTCACGTACGCATAGTGTTTTGGTTTAGATCGTCAATGTAACATCATCAGAAACATCCCTCAAACATATTTTTAAAGTAACTGCTAACGTCAAATTTATACTTCCCGAAATATTTCTGAGTTTTTTGATTTTTACTTCTAGAAATTTACAATTGAAAATTATTTTAAATAGTATTTAGTAAATTCTGGTGCTAAATGTTCGCAATTAGTATATGCGAGAGATTTGGAATTTGTTTATTTAAATATTAAAATAAGAGTATCTTTGTGGTTTCTGTCGGGATCTTGTGGTGATCTGTATTAAAATAAGGGTGTTAAAGTATCACACGTAAGATCGATTGTGAGTACTACCTCGTAGTCGTTTTTATGGCTTCTATACGGCAGAAAACTGATAAACTGATGATGATGGCTAAGCCATCGAAAGCTGCTTTTACATTAAATAATATTGTTGGCAATGACAACGTCTTTAATTTATTTCATGAAAAATGCCAAAGATATCACACCACAACACCTATATTATTGAAAGACGTTTTTCAAAACAAGTCATTCATATTTTACCCGTCTGAATAATTATCAGACGTCTTGTAGAACTCTCAAATGTTGTTTTCTTTTGACAATATTTGATTTTCCCGGGATGAAAATTAGGGTATTACAAAGAGACGAAATGGGACGCGAAGTTATTTTTGCAAATTAAAATTCAGGGATAAAAAAACAGCAGTTGTACGCACACTTTAGCAACATATTGACTACAAATTTCAACCAATACTCAGAAACGTCTTCAGAAGAAAAATACATTTCACACTGCAATGACAATTTTTGATTTTCAGAAAAAAGATTAGTGAGCAACAGAGGTAAAGATCGAGTAGAGCCAGAATTAAAAGCTTTTACAATGCATGGGCGCATTAATCTTCTTGCACAGGGATGTCATTAAGCACTTCCATTTTCCGACGCATGCTCACCTTGAACACGGGATACTTGTCGTGGTTCACGAGCATGCGCTCCAGGTAGGCGAAAGCGGCGAGCGCCGCTGACCAAGGCACGTAGTCCGCCTCGCGGCTGAGGTAGTCCGCCAGGCCGAGCGCCGTCGCATAGGGGAGCAGGCCCGCTCGCGCCAGGTTGAAAGCGTCGTCCAGCAGCTGGGCTCGGTTCAGGACGTGGACGCCGTCCAGTGGCTTGGAAGCATCTTTTAAGTACTGTGACACCAGCTCCCAGTTGCGAGAATCGTAGTTTACCCTGTAATACCCTGTGAATACAAACAAAATAAACGAGTTCGTGGCAAAACGATTCAATTGACTATTATTTATTGTTCCAGTTTTACCTGCTTCCTGCACGTTAAATATCACCCATTCATTTGAAGGAGGCATACTAGATAACGTAAGAATATCAGTATCTGGAGTATGATAAGCTCCTGGTTTGGGGATGTCAAAAGCACTTCCCTGGGACACCCACGTCAATGGTACATAATATTTCTCAGGTTGTTCACCTTCGAATAGAAATCTTTTCTGAAATCGAAGGAAATAAAAATGTTACTACATCTATTCTCCTTCATTAAATAAGTAAAATCAGTGCTTTGGTGCCAAGCATTTGTTAAATTTTGAAACCATACCTGTAAAACAATTGCAGAATTTGATTCGTAATTGCGTATTACATTAAGCACCGGAAAGCCCGGCTGTTCAGTCCATGAACGCAGGAAACTTTCGAAATCTGTTTCTGATAGTTGAGCATCTGGTGCGTATGGCTTCAAAGCGTTAAAAAGATCTTGAGGCGTTACTGTACCATACTTGCTACACAGGATAGGATTATATTAAATTGTTATTAAATGCCATTCATCATAACAGAAATTTTTTGGTAATAATACTTACTGAGCAACTAGATAGTCTTGTAGAGCCTGTTGAAAATTTTCAGCCCCGATGATGTTACTAATCATCCGCAATACCGATCCACCTTGTAAAAATATATTATTATTATTATTATTATTATTATTATTATTATTATTATTATTATTTCTTTTGTAGAATAAGTTCTGAGAATAGATAAATTAGTTTTCAAAACTGAAGATATACTAAAAATGGTCTTGCAGGGTTTACTTGTTGAATTAGTTTTTGACAATATCAGTAAGCTGTGTTAAGCTGTGCTAATGACGTTAATTGAGTTCTGTACTATGATTAAATAATAATGAGTTTTTAATAGTTATGGTCAAAGGGTACTGAAAAATATCTTTGCGGTATTGGTTTTGGCAAGAGGGAAGTGTCTATAATTTTCAGAAATGAACAAATCAACTTCATTTTCATTTCCCAGCGTGGAAAGCGCAGGATATCCTTACCTTTGTTGTACGTGATGGTGCCGAAGCTCGCGCTTGCTTCAGCAGGCGATGTGACATCATGTGTGAGCGCTTTCACCGTCACCAGCGAGTCTAGAGCGAACACGGCTTGCTGCTGATCCACCACGAACTGGTCCCACATGCGCCAGTCCGCCGCCTCCACCTTGTCGGTGACGTAGTACTGGAAGGAGCGCGCGAAGCCCTCGTTGAGCCACGTGGCGCCCCACCAGTGCGTGGTGACGAGGTTGCCGAACCACATGTGCAGCAGCTCGTGGGCTATGGTGACAGCTACGCTTCGGCGAGACGTCGCCGGCCCATTGTCGTAATCGTAGAGAAGAGCTGTTTCACGGTAGGTGATCAGCCCCCAGTTCTCCATGGCGCCCGCAGAGAAGTCCGGAAGCGCCACCTACATTTACAGATTACATTTTAACTCATTGAAATACACCCTAATTTTTAAAATCATTTTGCCTTGACAAGTTTGTTTATACGAATTAAAATATTTTCATCTCGTGTATTTTAACACATGTTGAATTATCGTAGGCATTTTTTACAAGTAATCATTCTAATATATAAGTATTTTAGTTTCCCAGTTTTCTGAAACATTCCCGAAAAAGCAATTTGCAAAATAACCCTGCCTTGACAACTTTGTTCCATACCAATTAACACATTTTTATCTAGCGTATTTTAACACATGTTGAATTACTGTACACACTTTTTACAAGTAATCATTCTAATATTAAAGTATTTAGTTAGTTTTCTGGATGATTCACAAAAAAGCAATTTTTGATGGGAATATAACGTTGAAAGTAAATATTGAAGAGTGAGGAAACATTGAAAGCTTTTAAATGGGACGATAAAAACATTCTCTAATAATTTCAGATAATGCGAGAAGTTGCTACAAAGTAATGATTTTTTTTAAAGTTGCGACAAGATCTTATAAAATTGGTGAAATTACGTACTTGCAAAATAAGAGCATGATCATCGACCCTTGGAAAGTGACATAAAGTGCAATAGAAAACAAGACATTAATGCTAGTTAATGTGATTTGTCTTATTTTAAAAAAGTCGGAAAGTGTTAATGATTATTTACAAGCTTATTTCACTTTGAATGAATTTTATTCAATTTCTTTAGGATACACACACTCTGTCTCCATAAACGAGACGCAAAAACCATGTACTTTACCTGATCTATTTTGTTGAAAGGAAACTCCACATCATCGCCATCGTCAATGTAAGGTATGTTTGTGTAGTCCTCTAAGACATCCAGCATTTTCCTTGATACTTTCAGACTGTAGTCAGCTCGGTCGAGAGCGTTTTCTCGTGCCCATGTTTTAATGTGCACTCCGCCTTCCTGATTGTCTTCATCGTCAAGATTCGAGAAATCGGACACCACAAATGCCACAAGATAAGGAGACATAATTGGGGAGTTCTTGAAAATGAACTCTCGAGATCCTCCTGTTCTAAAACAGCAATTTTAATAAATGTTTAATCAATTTTATAATAATTTTTGTAAATGAGACGAAGGTTTTAATGTCAATGAAACAGTAGGTCGTTATGGGGAGATCAACATATATGAAACTAAATTTTTTCTTCAGTAAAAAAAAGTATTAACATTTATTTTATAAATCACTAAAAAACTGATGATAGTCACGATTGATAACAAGTCCGAAATCAACTTAATTTCGTAGCAGTTCCAACTACATTTCAATTTTTTTCGGAACAGCATCTTGAAACTCTCATAAATTCTTGAACATCAGCTTTAATGTCAATAATGAAAGGTCAAAATTATAATTATTAAATTAATTTGGTTAAATTGGGTGAAAATATTATCTTTAAATAAAAATAATGGACAAAACAAATCAATATATAATATAATCAATGTTAAACTATAATTGTGCGTTAAAGTTTTTTCGTTTTGAAACAAAAATATATGATAAAATAATAAAGAATAATTATTGTGAGAGATAATTAATATTTCCTCAAAATTGGAGTCAGTGTTGAAAAAATGGGTCAAACGATTCACTGAGGATCTGGTTCGAAGAGCGAAGTGGTGGCGTGTGTACATATTATTTCCAACTGAATGGTATATGTAAGGTTGCTCATTTCCTGAGAGGGCATACTAGTTTTACGTGATCTAATGAAGTTCATATTGCATTAGTTTCTATTAAGACTCGGATATTGATCAAATATTTAAGCTTCCATAGCTGTAATTACTGCTTGTACTTTAATTACTGCTTCCCGAGCAGTAATTAAAACGTAAACAATAAAAACTGTATTTTTACCAAGTCACAGGAAGAAAATATAAACTCACAGGTCTTTTTCTTCCTTCACCGGCATATTGCTGAGACAGAAATAACCAGGTGGGGCCACCACAGATATTTCGAATCTGGCTTTGAAGTTGGGCTCGTCAAAGCAAGGAAAGGCTTTGCGAGCATGCGTAGCTTGGAATTGTGTGGCTGCCAGTCGTCTGCACAAAAATCAAACAACATTATTATGAACATTTCATTTGTTATAAAATTCACCAACTATTTACATCTGAAAATAGAAGGAATGTTTCTTTTTCGAAATGCCTGTCCGAACAGCACTAGTGCTTAAACGGTTTTCTACAAATTGCATATTCCCAGATCAATTTGGCCGAAATTAAAGCCCTTGAAATTTAAAAGGTCTTTTGATTTCTGGGGAAAGTTTTACAAATTTAGAACCATATTTTTCTTAAACTTTTTGCTGGAAAAGAATCAAGGGCACTAACATAATAGGATCTTATAAAAAACATTTTTGAAAACTAAAATATTCTTTTTATGCTCTCCTTTAACTAGATTATTGAAGCTAGATATTTTTTAAGTAATATTTATTTTTCAAATTTACATCTTAAAATTATTTTATGTACAATTTACTTTCTTCGTTACAATTTTACTTTCTCGCCTACTGCGTACTTGCGTAGTAATGAGAACGTACTGTAATGCTGAAGCATAGTTATTTGCTTTAGGTTTACAATACGATTATTATGACTGAAAAAATAGTTTCCCTGTCACCGAAAAAGTGAATAATTCTTGTTCCTGTTGTGTTACGTAGAAAATGACTTCGTCTAAAACATTCCGTAATGTTTAAAAACAAAATCGTGAAATAATGTCACCTCTGAAATTTCGAAATTTGCAAATGCAAATGTACATCTTTATTTTTAACGCGTTGGGAAAGTTGTTTTACTTCTGAGATTGGCAGTGTGGAGATAAAGTGAATGGCGTGCTAAAAACTGTGTGCTAAAACTAAGAAATGCTAAAACTAGGAAGTGCTAAAACTAAGAAGGTATCTGAGTTTGAATCCCAGTGAGGAAAACTTTTTCTGATTTGTAACACTCTTGCGGTTCCAAGTAATATTTTAATAGTACAAAGCAATTAAAAATAATGCGAGTAAGCGCGTGCTGATGTAGCATCCTCAGTTTCTAAATGAGGAAAGTTTTTGCACCATCTTAGAACCAATTTCGTCAATTTTCTAAAAATATCATTAACGATTCTTAAAATGGCTCTAAGCAGCTCATTTATTTGTGATATTCCGTTTTTAAAGGTTCTGACTTTCCTTACTAAATCCAACACTAAATTCCAAAAATGACATTACATTTTCTGATTCTTTAGATGTATTTCTTTTTCTTATTTTTATATAACATTAAAAATAATTAAGGTTTTGAAAGAACCGTAAATAAAAGCAGGATAAATTTAATAATTAATATAATAATTAAATAATGGTTCATAATTTAAACTGAAATAATTCAAATAATATTTTCATGCTTTTACATTTTTCATATCTTCTGACTTATTTCACGTGAAGAAAATAAGTTGTTTTCAATATTCTTCCGAAGGATTGAATAGCTCTGCCGAAGATAAGTTAGTGCAATAACATTAAACCGTACTTACTTTTTAACGTCACCAATAGTGTATGTGCTGACATAAAATCCATACATATCATCTCTCAATTCACCGTGATAGTCCATTGAAATGTCGTATTCCTCCCCAACCACAAGATCTTCCGCCAGGTTAATTTCAATCATTTCACAGTCAGACCAATAAACTACTCCTCTGAAAAGGCTCCCCGAAGACGCGTCATTAACTCGAGTCACTCGGGCGGTCAGAAGCGTTATTCTCTCCGCGTGCAGCCTGATTTTACCAACCGCTTCCTCAGCCCGCACCCGAATATCCACGTGGCCTTCGAACGAGTCGCCGTCCAAATCGGGGACGAGGCGCAATTTGTACTGAGACGGCAGCACGGAGCGGTGCAGACGGAACGGGTTGTCTAGCGTGCAGCCGACGTTGTCCGGTGCGGCGTCCAGCCGTGGCGGGGCGGCGTCCGTGGCGGTGAGCGCCACCAGCGCCATCACCAGCCAGCACCAGCGGCTGGTGACGCAGAGCCCATGCGGCGACATCCTCGTTGGCGAGTTCGGGCTGCCGAGTCGCGGAGGGTTATGTATGGACGTTTTATCGCGCCTGCCGGGTGGGGCAGAGCAGGGCGCGGTCGCTCTTTAATCCTTGTATATGAAACGGCAATAAGTGAACTACGGACCTGTCTTGTAAAGAAATATGTTTTTATAATGCATTCTGCAAAGATAATTTAAGACTTTCGGTATTATTAAACATTTCGTATCACGTGTAGAAAATTATACCATGTTACTATAATGCTAATCTCTGAATTATATGAAAAGTACGCTTCGTCTGAACTAGATTTTTTACAGTAGGGAGTACAATTTTATTTTACTAGCGAGCGAGAACTCTCGCATGTTATTCCCCACCTTTTCTCCATAAATTTCCCTATCTGTTCTATTAAGAAGGAAAGTTGTTAATGAAATATGTTTATTTGTTAAAAAATGTATAAATGTATCTTCATACAACAAAAATAAAGACAAGGATTTTGATGTTGGAAACAAATTGTCAATAAATGTTTATTCAGTATTATATCAAAGATATGTTGTTCGAACAATTCACACATCCTTAAAAACGACGTTTGAAGTCATCATTCAATCTTACTTGACAATTAGTTTTGGCTTTCCTTGATAGTCACAAAAATATTAGAAAAGGATTTTTACTCTTGAGAAAGCCAAGTTAAGTTTTTCATGAGAAAATACACGATCGGGCAAGCACACATCCAATTCTTTGCAAAATTATTTAAATTTCCTGGATTTGTTATGAGAAACAGTGGGGGCTTTGGGGGCAAGACGCAAGTTTGCTAAGGTGCGAAAATTGAAAAATTATTTGTATACTAAAAAATAAATTCCGTAGTGGTAGCAGATATCTTGTGGTAATTCATAATATTTTTTTGGTAAGGGAAATAATCTTCACAAAACGTTTAATAATTTTTATTAATTATTTTCCACAGTTAACTTTTCCCCTCCTCAGTGGGAATTTAGACACTTCCACCTTTGCCAATCATTTGATTGAATTTCACCATTCCTTTGACCCCAATTACAATTTTAAAATCCTTCACCTTGTCAACTAAGGCACAAAAATGAACATTTTGGAGAACTTGGAAATTATAAAACTTTTCAAAAATACTAATTTTTCTGTCTTGAATGAACATTCCTTGATTAAAAGCAGTCTCCTTGAAAATATTTTATTAACTAGCCCCTAATCATTCTTTTGACCTTTTCCCCTCTTTTTGCAATCTCTTTATCTAGTCAATTATATAATTAAAATTCTAGAATCTTGCTCAATCCTAATTTTCTGTTCTGTTTTACATTCCTGTATGTAAAGCAGGCACTTTTTCAAGTCTGTTTATGACTACCATTTCTTCTCTTCTATTCCCCCCTCTTTACCTCAATTGGTAGGCTTCCTCTTCTACCATTCCAAAAGATGGCTGTCACCTAGCTGTAACCAGCATGTTTGGCAGTTTTCATATTTTTTGACCATGTTGTGAACATTCATGGGTGATCCACGTTGCCCAAGTGATCCAAGTTTTTTCAATTTGTATTTATATGATATTATTTGTTTGTTTATTTCACTAAATTCACTGTGCCCTCCGCTTTTTTTGTGTACAACTTGTGTTAATGTTTCCATTTATCCTCCTTGCTAGAGATCCACTGAGGATGGGAAAAGCATTTTCCCGAAAGTTAACTCTGGAAAATAATATAAATTATTAAACCTTTTGTTGAGATCATTTCCTTTACCATAGTATACTAAAAAGTATTGAATTATTTTCTGCGTTCTTACGTACTTCAAGAAAAGCAATTCCGAGTCAAAAAATAATGAAACTGACATTTTCACCTTTCAGAAGTAAATATTATTTGTTAGCATTTGAAAGAATTCAGTAGGCCTGGACTTCACTTCGGTACCGCCAACATTTAAAGAGTGCGTCTGAATTGTGATCGTTGGCAGTTGTCGAATGACTTGCACTAGTCTTGCTATAACATTAAATCTGGTTGCTTTTTTAAATTAATTTACGAAGTATTGTCGGATAGCGCGTTTTTCGTTGTTCACTTCTCTCAAGATAGTTTACTTTAGTTAATTTAAAGTTTTGTTCTATGTGTTGTGCCATAGCACACGTTTTCCCCTACTACCTCCGCGTATCCGTGCAAAAACTCTCGCATGTTAAACCCCACACAGTTCCCTATTCTTCTATTTCCCTTCTAAGAGGGAAAGTTATTAACTATATGCATTTATTTGTTTAAAAATGTATAGAGGTAACTTCCATTGTACTAACACCATATAAAATTAAAATAAAAAACAAAGCAATTGACGAGGAAAAGAAAGTTTCACTAGAGATTTATTCATTATTATAGAGAGATTTCTAGGAACAATTCACAATACTCCCTTAAAAATATTTGAAAAAATAATTTAATAATATTTGACAGTTAGGTTTTCGAGATAATCACAAAAATATTAAAAGAGCTTTTTACTATTGAGAAAGTTGCGTGAATGAACACACAGACTTGAAAGTTTCACCGAATCACTGCTGATAAAGAAAATACTGGTACAGGTAAAATACAAAAAAACCTAACCAGAAACGTCTCCACTTTTCAATGTACTCCCACATACCTCCACAATTAGGTACACTGCACTTTTAGACGTCGACAAAACGTTAAATGAATGTTTTCAATACACGCATAGAAATAATCTTCATCGGTATGAAGCAACTCTCAATAGTACTTCTAGTTGTTGCTGCGAGTGAGAATCTTGAATGAATAATTATGCAAATAAACCTCGCCAGCCTACGCAAACCACGGTTTATATAGAAAGCGTGAATATAATATGATAAGATGTCTCTAGACTTTCTAAGCGTGACGTTACAAAGATGGTCACCGAGGATTGGAATATAGGTGGCATTGGTTGTATCGATAAGTGCCAAACCAGCAGAAATTTAAAAGTGTCAAAGAATATCTACATATGTAGTTTTCTTTGTGGCCTTAGGCCTCAACATTTTAGTTTTTAAGGCCCTAAAACACATCGTTTAGGAGTTATTTAACAATATAGCTGACTACAAGCTGCGAGTTGCATTTAACATGAATATTTAGTTTTCTTACACAAGTCCTTGACATTTGTGAAGTCAAATTACAATTCATTACGTCTTCGTGAAATTCTTTCTTTGGATTCTCTTTCTTTAAAGTTACATGAACATTCTGAGCACTGTTTATGACATTCTCTTGTCACTCTCTGCAATTACCTTTTTCTTACACAGGGCCTAATGAACGCTATTTACACTAGAGGATGCAATAACATGCAACCACTGATCGCACACATTAAAGGAGTGGCTTGGGCACTACGAAAATAATGCCAAGAGCCTTCTACGTCTTTGAGAACTGAGCGAACTTGAATACTTCTCGCAGTCATGGTACGTTCGTGGTGAAAGATAAGAAGAAAATATATATGAAAGACAATTCTTACCGACCTCTTCTCAGAGCCTTGCCTCACCCAACGAAGCTTGCGACGGTCAGCGGGCTGGTGTCGCCGAATATACGTCTCCGCGCAGATCCGGGTTCTTACACGGCAATGTAGTGTAAGAAAATGGACGCCCGTAAACCTCGTCGCAGCAGCTTCAGTGTCCGTTTGTCTTCCTCGTTCTCACAACACTCACAATCACTCACCAATAGCACACTTTCTTCCGTCCTTCCTCTCTCGCATCTTCCAACCTTCTCACGCTCCCTACCACGTCGGTCGGCACGGACAGTACAATTCAAATGTCTCAGAATGTATATAAATACGGGTTCCCAACATCTTGCAGAAGAATTTGCCCGCGCTATTTGAATGTAGCATTGTTGTCTCGACCACAGATAGGCAACGGTTACAGTATAAATTGCATGGAAACAGAGATTTCTGGCTTTAATACCGGAGCTGTACAGACAGGTTCAAAAATAAATATGAATGGTTGCAATTTATAAACTTTCAACGGTTATTATGAAAATCGACACTTTACCATATTTTATGTGCTTTTATGCACATGTACACCGTACAAAGTGCATTTATGTATAAATGCACCTTGTTCTAATGTAGGGGGGAAAGAAGAAAACAATACAGCCATTTTCCAGAAATGTTGCAAAATGGCACGGTTGAATTACATAAATTACCCTCTCAAAATAAATATCGTAATAAATTCCGTAGCAGCACAACTAGGTCCTTCTTCTGACGTATTTGCCTAGTTCCGGCATAAATAATTCTAATCTGACAGTAATGCGCGGTACATCCATCTACAATGCGTCATCCAGCCATCAGTTCATATAAACATGCATTTTTATAGATATATACATAGTACATTAATATGGAGATACATGTATGTACTATGTATGTATATATTTACGACTACTAACATACAACGTACATACTACATGGGCAGAGGAGGGAGACGGACTGAGAATGAAAGAAGGACCAAGAGGCGGGACGAGAGACGGAACGAGCGTCGGGTCGACATATGCACCAAGAGTCCGTCCGAGACGGAGATCGAGAGCCGAATTCATAGTCGTCACTTATAGGATACGCAAACCCTTAAGTGGTAAGTGCTTTCTCAAAATAAGTGTTCACTTACAGGCGCTCGTATTTCATAGACGTTCCTTAAGACCACGGAATGAGTGTTCCTTTCAGCGGAAGGGAAATGTGACAACATGGCATTGGCGGCAGCTGCTTCGAAGTTCTTGGCAACCGAGTTTACACACGCACTTCATCTTGTGCAAAGGGCGTCCAATTTAACAGGGGGCGGACACTCCAACGTCGAGTTGACGTCACGCGCTGCGACCACTTGTCTCCCTCATTTGTTGTGTTTATAATACTTAATATCAGTTTCAATTGATTCCACAACGTTAACTTATGCTTTAGTATAACTAATGTAAATGGTATGAACATAGGCCTGGCAATATTGGTAATAGATTATTAACATATCATGTAATAAAAATGTCAACCACGCATAATATAAACATAAATTCCATTTTACAACAATTTAAATTAT